TTTTTCTATTGCGCCACACGTCTATCGATCGATATATATTGTTATTGAATTATCGCCCAGCCCTAGTTTAACCACCGACAGGACAGATACACAAACAGGATTAACTAAGCCTGAGTGATAGCCTGATCTGGAGCAGGCTAACTACACAGAAAAAATCCCTGTGCTGAATAAATTCTTACTTTTTCGATAAAACCAATTAATGGCATAATTAGGCCAGGATATGCAAACAAGCAAAGCCTAATACTCTAATCTTTGTTCAGTGAAACAGCCTTCAGAAAGCTTACTGGTCTGCATGGATTTTCATGTGCCTGTTTAAAGTGTTTTTTCGGCTAAATCTTTGTCCACAGAATCCACAACAGAAAGATCTCTCCCCTGTGTGGATTGTCATGTGTGTGCTGACATTTGCTTTTCGGCTGAATCTTTGTCCACACAGATCACAGTGGAAAAGTTTCTGTCCAGTGTGGGTAGTCATGTGCCTGTCTAAAGTGTTTTTTCGGCTAAATCTTTGTCCACAAAGATCACAGCAGAAAGCCTTTTGCCCTGTGTGGACTTTCATGTGAGTGTTTAAATTTTTTCTTTCGAAAAATCTTTGCCCACAGAGATCACAACAGAAAGGCTTCTGTCCTGTGTGGATTCTCATGTGCGTGTTTAAAATTGGCTTATTGCGAAACCTTTGTCCACATAGATCACAACGGTAAGGTTTCTCTCCTGTGTGAATTCGTCTATGAACTTTTAAGTTTTGTTTTCTCATAAAGGTATTACCACAAACCTCACATCTAAACTTTCCTCCCTTTCCTGTTATTCCCGACTCCACATGTTGTCCATCTGTTATACAGTTATCATTTTGTATAATTGACGACTCCATTTCTGAAGATTTTTGTCTTGTGTGGATTCTAATGTGTTTCTTTAAAGTTGTTTTACGGTTAAATCTTTTTCCGCATTGATCACAACAGAAGGGTTTCTCTCCAGTGTGAATTATAATGTGTGTTCTTAGCGTCGATTTTACAGCAAATCGCTTCCCACAGCGATCACAACTGTAAGGTTTCTCTCCTGTATGGATTCTCTTATGAATTCTTAAATATTCTTTTTTAAAGAAAGTTTTACCACAGTCTTCACAGGTAAACTTCATTCCTTCCATTATTTTCTTTCCGGAGTCCACATTTTCCCTCTCTGTAAAACATTTGTTATCTTGGGTGCTTGAATGACCCATTTCTGAATTGATTGTGTCTCCTTGAAGAAAGCAACTGTAAAAAAATTGTTTAGGAAAAGGTTCATTAACAATGTTTCCTTTATACTCAGATTCTGAGTTGTCGGCCTGGTTATTTTTCACGTCTTTGGCTTCAAGTCCAGAGTCTGTAAAGTGATGCAGCTCATAGACTGGATGTTTTATATCACAGCCATTATCCACATTCTCAGTGTCTTCAGTCTTTATAGAAACAGACTCATCTCCATGATATTGTTTCGCTCCTTCAATTTGGTCTGGATACAGCAGGGAGGACTGGTTGTCATCATCCATGGTCTTAATGGTAGTAGCGGTAACTGGAAACCTGACGGTATCAATCTTCTTCTCCTTGAAGTGCTCTCCCCTCAAACTAACATAGATTTCTTCTTTTTCCTCCTTTATGTGGTAGTAGTTTGGGTCATGAAGGTCAGCACAAGGTTTGTGGTCTACAGGAGCTTCTTCTTTAACAATCACCACCCGCTGAATATCTGCAAAAAAATAAAAGAAGACCTCATGTAAATTAGAAAATGTTAGCCTAGACAGAATATTTTTTCAATAGATATATGCAGTATATATTATGATGTTAAATGTATTTATTCTTTAATTGATTTGGGGCTGAAAAAAATGTATCGTGATCAATCCATTATTGAAATAATCAGCTAATTTCCCTTCACCACTGACTGGAGTATAGAGACGCTAAAGACACATAAAGTCCAAGCAGGATCTCGAAAAACTCATTCTACATTTATCTTTAGTAGAATTAATTCAAATCAATTCAGTTTATTTATATAGCGCCAATTCACAACAAAAGTCATCTCAAGGAACTTTACAGTTTAACCAGATCATACAGTCAAATTGATTCAAAGTATTCTATCTAAAGAAAACCAGTTTATTGCATTGACTCACTGACTCAAGTACAATCCCTCACACTAAGCATGCTTGTAGCAACAGTGTCTTCATAGGTTTGCCCAAAGAAGTCCATCAGACAGCTGCAGCTGACTCAAAAGGCAGCTGCCCGTGTTCTCACTAGAACTAAGAATGTAGAGCGCATTCACCCGGTTTGGAAGTCCTTACACTGGGTCCATGTAGCTCAAAATGTAGACTTTAAAATCCTTCTGTTAGTCTAAAACTCACTGAATAAATCAGCACATGAATACATAACAGATTTTATTATCAGTGTATGAACCTCCCAGACCACTCAGGTCTTCTAGTTCCAGTCTACTCTGTGCACCCAGAACTAGAATCAAACATTAAGAAGCAGCATTTAGTTCCTATGCTCCACTTATCTGGAACAAACTTCTAGAAGACTGTAACGCTGCTGAGTTCTTTGAAGTTAAAAACTTATTTGTTGAGAAATGGCTTTGACTGTTAAAGCTAAACTGTTAAATAAGGTTTAAGGTTCTGGTCCAACTGATTTGTTTGTTTTACTACCTGATTTTAATATGATTTTATCTTCATTTGCTTTTATTTTTCTTCCATGTTATTTTTATTAATGAATGTAAAGCCCTTTGAATTGTTCTTGTATTGAAGTATGCTATTCAAATAAATGAACCTTGCCTTGCTAAAACTTTCCCTTAGATCAGATATTCTCAACCTTGGAGTCCAGACCCAAATTGGAGTCATGAGATGATTTTTGGGGATCGCCGAATCATTGTGGAAAAATATAATGCACAAAATCAATTTAGCTTCTGACCGGACATTATAAGGATGGTGAGCAGTTGGTCCCACACAGGATTTACCCAAAATGTTACGGTTAGCCATAACTAGGCTTCACCAAAACAACATCAATGAACCGGTCAGCTGAGGTCACAGTGTTTAAGAGAAAGCTGGAGCAGTGGGCTGTGAGAGTGGATGGGGGAGTTTTGAAATGTTCCTGGAGCTTGAGGGCTTTATAGAGTTATGACATAAACATTCAAACTATGAAAAAAATGATTTCCTCTCACCTCAACAGCCTGCTTGAAGGTTTTAATAAAACCATCCTGAATAATGACGCCCCAAAAAAGAATGTCTGGATAGACCTTTCAGCACCTCCACAGCACACCACCTGTCATCAGAGGTCGCCCTGCTCGATCTGACCTCTGACCCCAGATTAAAGACTGTTCTGAATTCTGGTTTTCAGTACCAACAGAGTATGCAGCACTTTCAAAAGCTGCAACTGATCTACTGTTTCTATTTGCATCCATGTAAATAGTTGCAGATAGGGCTGGGTTATAAATTGAGTTCATTCGATTAATTCACGTTTTTAAAAGTCCACAATTTGAAATTTTGGAAAAATCGTAAAATCGAGGAAGTATCTTCTTCTGCAACTTTTACTTGCATGTTTGCTTCCAGCACCTCTTTCCTCCTGCTGCCCGACAGCATGCTGCACTGTTTACTCGTGCCATGGCTGCTTCTCAATCTGAAGAGTTGGACACGAGAAAAGAGACTCGTATTTCGTTGATTTTTTGGAAGTGGTTCGGCTTTGACAAGGCCGATGTGGACCAGACTACAGAAGTGCGCAATGTTTGGCGAAATTCCTACAAAACCAAGACTAACAGCACAACTAACAGGTAACAGCATCTCCGGCAAAGGCATCCCACAGTGTGAGAGCAGCGCTCCCAGCTTTGGGAGTGCAGCATCGGTAGGACGGGCAAAGACAAACACAACCACAACAAGAAAAGACCACAAACGCTGGCTGCCTCTTTTTCTAAAGCGGCGCCGTACAACAGGTGTAGTGTACAGTGGAAGCAGATGACCAACGCTGTAGCTGTTTATATAGGGATGCACATGATGCCCATAAACACCATATAGAAGCCTTGTTTCCTACAAATATGACACGCTGAGTCCTAACACTACAAGCACTCTGTTAAAAGTTGGACTCTGCTTTGTTATTTGCAACTAATACAGTCCTTTGTTCCAGTCGGTATCTTCAGTTTAACTCTGCATTATATTGAAAAATCACTATAATTATTGTTGGGTGAACATTTGTGTTACTTGCACAAGATTTATGTTATGAATAGTTAATTGAAATGTTACAATACATTTATTGTTGGCTAAATATTTGTTACTTGTCACAATATATTTTTGAATAAAGTAAACCTATTTTAAAATACATGCATGTAGTTTTTAATACTTGAGTTAAAATTGATTAAAATTGTAATCATAAAAGATGACTAAAAAAAATAACAGTTGTGTGAGATAAAACATATAGGTTAACAACAACTCCAAGCCAAGATGAAAGTCCCTCTGATAGTGCTGCAAAAATGATTTAATTTGGGAAGACTAGAGATGCAACAATCCCGTCCCTGAATCGTATATCGGCTCCAATATTGACTAATTAACTAAATCAGAGATCCTGTCCAATCCACTTTGCATAGAACTGGTATTTCTTCCTTTTTGCTCATTGTTTCTTAATAAATAATCTAAAGTATTTTCATATCTGTTAATTTGTTATCTTTTTTTTAAACAAAGTTTATGTAGTGGCTAAAGCCTTCACTCTCATGACAAGATATATGGTTCATTCATTCAACAGTAGAATAGGATCTGTAGTGGTTATCAGCCACTCGCTCAGCCCAGGTATCGGTATCAGATTGGATCAGAAGTAGGGCTGGGAAATATGATTTCAAATCAAAATAACGATAGGGCAGATTTACCTCAATAGTATACTATATTTATACATATATACAGTGTATATAGATATATATATTTTAGGGATGCTCGATATTGGGATTTTGGCCGATATCCGATATGCCGATATTTTAAAACTCATGTAGCCGATAACCGATATCGATACCNGTGAGAGCAGCGCTCCCAGCTTTGGGAGTGCAGCGTCGGTAGCGATTTAAAATTGTATGAATCAAAATCGAATCAATTCAGGACTTTGGCGAAAATACCCAGCCCTAACAACAAGAAAAGACCACAAACCCTGGCCGCCTCTTTTTCTAAAGCGGCGCCGTACAACAGGTATAGTGTGCAGTGGAAGCAGATGACTGACGCTGTAGCTGTTTATATAGGGATGGACATGATGCCCATAAACACCATAGATGAGCCTGGCTTCCTTCACATGCTAAAAGTGTGTGATCCAAAATATGACACGTCCTAACACTACAAGCACTCTGTTAAAAGTTCGGACTCTGCTTTGTTATTTGCAACTACTACAGTCCTTTGTTCCAGTCGGTGAATCGTATATCGGCTCCAATATTGACTAATTAACTAAATCAGAGATCCTGTCCAATCCACTTTGTATAGAACTGGTATTTCTTTCTTTTTTCTCATTGTTTCTTAATAAATAATATTAAGTATTTTCATATCTGTTAACTTATCTTTTTTTTAACAAAGTTTATGTAGTGGCTAAAGCCTTCACTCTCATGACAAGATATGTGGTTCATTCATTCAACAGTAGAATAGGATCTGTAGTGGATATCAGCCACTCGCTCAGCCCAGGTATCGGTATCAGACTGGATAAGAAGTAGGGCTGGGAAATATTAACCTGACAACAGCCAGATGCATGTCTCGCTCCGCCTAGCTCCACTCACATACATCTGGGACACCGCTCATTGAAAGTGATTTCCCTAACCGAATTTATGGTCTGGCCAATCAGGACGCAGGGCGGGTGTGTCCTGCATGTAACGTAGTGGAGAAGCGAGTTCTGTAAGTCGTTCGTCTATACTTTTTTGGTTGGCTTCTTTTTTTAAAATAAGTCTGGTGTGCACAATGTCCACACATTTTCATGGCACAAACAACACTGATCATTTACCGACACTGCGCTGATTCCACTGTTGCTATATCCAAGATGTGGGCTGTTCTGTTTTGTTTTTTTCCTGCATAGCTCTCACAGCGTCATGGGTTAGCTTCGGTGTGAGTGGTTGAAATAGCACGTCGATAAAGATGACAGACAAGTGGCTTATCCAATCATATGCAAGGAGTTTTGATAAGGCCCAGCCTTCAGTAAAGGCAATTCCTATGGCAGGGTCCCAAATGTATGTGAGTGGAGCTAGGCGGAGCTAGACATGCATCTGGCTGTTGTCAGGTTAGGGAAATATGATTTCAAATCAAAATAACGATAGGGCAGATTTACCTCAATAGTATACTATATTTATATATATATATATATATATATATATATATATATATATATATATATATATATATATAGTATATTTTATACTGTGGTTCCTCTATTAGCAATACAGTCATGTGCAGGAAATGCAACTTGATCTATTTATAATTTATTTATTGAATAAATTACATTACATATTACTTTCAATTAAATATTAGAGTCTTTTACCCATTCAGGTTTAAACATAAAACAATAGCTACGTTTACATGCGCAAAATTTCCCCGATCCGATCCAAACCTTGGTTGATCGGAAATTCAAAATCTCTGTTTACATGGACACTAAATGAAATGATCCGATCATGACGTGTGTATACATGTACCAAGCGTTGGATCAGATTAAATCTTTTAAGCATGCGTAGAACTTCCTGCCAAACTTGGCA